CGCAGCCTGGCCCGCCGAGGTGTAAGCACGACCAGCGAGGGCTGAAGTCATTCGGCAGGGCTTCGAGGGGTGAGCGGCCTTTGCCTTCCATCCGATGGCAGCGGGGGGGCAGAGGTGTGAAGCCACCGCTTTGTCCAGAGGAGGCAGTTTATCGTAGCCCTTCTGTGCAGCGCTGTCAACCGTAGTGAGGGCGGGAGAGACAGAGGAGCGTAAACGAGCTGAGTAGGGGGCGCGCCACGACTTCGTCAGCTCGTCGTGAACCTCTGGGAAGAAGGGCGCAGCTCGCTGAGGAGGGGTCTGGCGGCGTCCTGGCAGAAACCACTCGTCTAGGCGGCTGTGAGTGGGCTCTTCAGGTGAAGACCACTCCAATCCGAGCTCCTTGACGGCTTTTGATAGGACACGGATGAGCTCGTTGTCCATACCAACCCTGGCGTCATCGGCTCCGCAGACAGCAAGGGGCGGGGTCAGCAATGGAGCCCGACCAATCCTCAGCATCTGAGGCCGCTAGGGACATACTGTCATCAAGCGGCTCCAGACCAGGTCACTCGCGATGGCAGAGGGGCGCTGGTTTGGATGCTAGTGTCCAGACGTCATCCGATCCCCCAAACGAGACCAGGTCATTCGCGATGGCAGAGGGGTGCTGGTCTGGATGGGAGAACGAGACGGGGGAAACCTCTCTTTGTGGAGAGAGTGAGGTACGCGGGCCTTGAGCCGACGTAAGCCTACTCATATCCGAGCGCTGTGATCCTCTACCCCGCTGTTTTTTCCTCACAGGTTCCTGGGAGGAAGGAAACGGGGGGGCGCGAGGGGCGGGGGCGCTTTCTATCCGCGAGGGAAAAGAGGCGAGACTCATGCTCTCGCAGGGGGAGCATGACGTCTCAGTGAGCGCGGCTTCTGCGTGGGATTTCCCCAGACATCGCACGCATTCACTGTGCCCGTCATCAGCGTGCAGGGGTGTCCTGCACAAGCCACAGCCATGGCGCAACATTTGCAACAACGTTGCAGAAAATTTGCTCAGAAATTTGCTCTTTTTTGTTACCACAAGCAGGAAAGCGTCAACACAGGCGCTCTGCAGACGGCTTGTGAGCGAAGCGCTGACCGGGGCTGCCTTGAGAGCGATGCGGGAACAGAGCTGCTTGAAGAGGCGATCTGATCCGGTGCTGCAAAGCGGCGCGCTGATCAGTGCTGCTTGAGAGCGGCGAGCTGTGGGCGGCAAGCTGCAAGCGTTGAGCAGAGAGCGGAGGCGGCGAGCTGATCTTGCTGCTGCAGAACGGCGGCTGGATCAGCTTGCAGGCGAAGGCTTCAAATCTCGTAGAATCAGCGAAGAGCAGTAGATGTCGTCGCTGAAGGATAAAGAATCAGTGATCCTATGCTGAGCACCTGCTTATTTAGCCAGATGCCCCGCCCATTTTGGCGGGCTCGGGCGCCCTGCTTCGCCATAGGCTCGCGCAGCTCTGCTGCGCCGTCATTGGTAGTAACGAGAGTGTCCATGTTGTTTTCACATTCCGACTTAAAAACACAACTCGGGAAATGAGAGCATCCGAGGAGCGTGTGAATGCAGTAACTACACTTGCTCTAATGGCAGCAGGTAGCCTTCCGTTAACTAAGCTAAACATGCTTAAATTAAAATGCCTAAAGCTAAACCTCCCTTGTATTCACATTTCTAAACCTGTTGTCCAACAAAAGAGAAAATTATAACCTTTTTACTCCACAACACCAGTCAAATGCTTCCTTTTGTGATCTGATGAGGCTTCTTGTCACAGAATGAGGCAGAAAATATGTTCTATCTGCTACTTTAAAAATAATACATCGATTAGCAATAAATTATGGTGACCATACATACTCTTTTCCCCGTACATGTCCTCTTTTTGGACCTACAAAAATGCGTCCGGCCAGGATTTCTTAATTGCCCAAAATGTCCGGGATTCGGCTGTTTTCTTAATCCCTCTCCCACTGAATCTCTTACCATTGCCGCCTGCTCCCGCAACATGTGTTTCGCTTATTCTAATGCTACTTCTAATTTTATCTGCTTGTTTTTTTAATTAAAAAACTTGACCCTCTAACATTTGCACTCTCTATTCCATTTCTATTCTAATTGCCAATCCATCATTTTTGGGGGGAATTTTTATTTATTTATTTTTTTAATAAGTATCGGTTCAGGCACCGTTTAGGCACTGGAGCCGTTTTAAAAGTATCGATTTGGCACCGGTATCGAAAAAAAACCAAACGATACCCAACCCTAATGGTAACACTATAGTATTTTGAAATTTACCAAGGTACTACAATTCATGGTAACATTTTAAGGTGTCCTTGTTACATGTTACATGTACTTACTATTATAATAACAATAAATTATGCATAATTGCATGCAAGTAACTCTAAGCCAAACCCTAATCCTAAACCTAACCATATAGTAAGTACATGTAGTTAATTAATATTACTC